TATTTTTGTACCCAAAATACCCCTGCTCATCAAAATGCCTTAAATAACAAAACAAATCAACAACACACGAATTAACTTCTAGGCATTTCATATTGAAATTGTAATTGTTTACAAAAACCAACTACAACTTCATTAATGGGCACTTTTATCAAATTAACGCCAATTAACTTCTAAACATTTGGATCGTCAAAAACCTTAAATTCTTGCATCTGCTTCAAGTTATTCCAAGGCTGCACCCAAACTTTAGTTTCATACCATATTCTCCACAAGTTTAATTTTGAACATATCCCGAGTATTCTCCCTGAGCCCTTGACCAACATTTAACCGAGTGCCAAGAGACGCAAAATTTCCAAAGAAAGACATAGCTACCTTCGGCTCCAATAAATATCGGTATCGCCTGTATTCCCAGGAAGTAGTAAATATAGGACAAGATGGATGTGGAATGTTAGAATCCCGATAAGAACTGTTTTCGTATAACTGGCCAAGATAAATTGAAGGTCGAGCCACACCTAGACTATCAGCAAAAGATCAAAAAACACCAGGATCTAAGGAACGAAATCTTTTTACAACCCTACCACCATTGCTACCTTCTCCGCCAGTCGGGACAGTTGCAAGAGATGAATAAGCAATTGAGCCCCTATCCCATTTACGGCGAACCAAAGGATCTTCTTCATTTTCACCTTCATTGCCATCATTGGCAACCACAATAGAAACAATGGAAACATTTGGAGTTTTCTCACCAACGTCATCGTTATAAGAATAATGAACCCTAATTGAAGATTTCATTTAATTCTCATCCTCCCTTTCACTTTGTGAGTTACTACCCTTACTCCCACTATCATTAACATTATCGTCAAAGGCAAGAATTTCAAAATCATCAGAACCAAGATCACGGACTGAAACCTTATCCTCGATAAAACCGGACAAAAGAAAGGGCATACGAGTTCTATCTACAATGAGAAACCAATAAACGATTAGCATTGAAATAAACAAACGATTAGTAAGGAAAGAGATGAATACCTGGTCCTCGAACAAATAAAGAAGGAACCACACCCACGCACAACCAATAAGGGTTTATACCGGCTTGCCCTAACACAACCTCATGAAATTTCTTCATCATAATGTTCAAATGGGATATCTTATGATTCTTATCTATATCTTACTCTAAGTCGGGAGTCCTATCAGGTTTTTAAACGATAAAGTGTCAGGAAGATGAAACGTATTGTGATGGGGAAAGCGAGATGCATTTAACCAAATAAACTCATTTTTCCAGTTCTTGATGGATTCTGGAAGATCCTTAATTAAAACTTCGTCCCCTAGAGTGAAAATAATACCAATCACCATTGCTACAGATACGAAAGGAATACTGAAACAGATCGACGGTAGGAACGAAAAGGGCAGCATGACAAAGCAACTCGAAACAAACAACTTTCGATATAGAGTTAGGTTTCAGTTGACATGTATGGATTTCCTACAACTCAAAAATGGAACCAAAGAAAGAGGAAGGGGGAACGCGAAGACCAGCCTCAAAATAATAAAGGTAAAAACCAACCTTACTCGGAGGATGATGGTCGATAATCGTTATGGATCCAGGAAGAACAACACCATCTTCCTCGATAAGATGATGTTTCAAAGAAATATTATCAAGGCGCTCATGAGTAACGGAAGATCGGACCACAACCAATATCGGACGAGACATGTTTTGAATCTAGGAAAAAGAGAATCAAGATAAGGAAGAAACAAAAAGAACAAGAAAAGAGGATATAAAAAGAAAATTGGCGAATGTTACAATCATTTATGGGAGAATAGGCGGGAAAAGAAATCCTTGTAGAGAAACGATCAAGTAGTTAAAGGCACGAACTCCTAGGCACGTGTAATACCTTACCCAACGCTCGGTTAACCAAGCAAAACTGACAGCATAATTAAGCATAATTATTATAAACAGTCTAACAACTGTTTACAACAATAAGTTTGGGGAGCTTAATGGGGTATGGACGTCGTCCCATACAAAGACAAGCTGACCAGGGGAGTCGATTTGATGAAAGCCCATAACCGTGAATAATAACAGGTCGGTATTTGGCCTGTCGGGATATACCGACCATGGACAACCTAAATTGACATATCTTTCGTATACAACCTATGAAACAACATGCCAGGAAACTCGGAAAAGGCAAGCTTATTTTATTAAAAGGGTTCTACCATTGCGACCTTAGAACCAAGGCAAGACCTGAAAGAAAAGATCATGAACTGGACAAAACCTCCGCTATAAGAGAGAGTCCGACCCTTCTTGAATAGGTAGCAATCCTTTGCAATTCCATTTTTTACATGCGACCCCAATATGACATCTAACTTAGGCATCAGAGAGCAATATCGAGGTTTATCCCTCAGTAGGGCTTTCTAACCTAGCGTTATCTATTCTTTGCAACGTGTTATCTTGAGTGCTCAGTGGACGAAGCCTTACAGGAGTGAGCAACCACGCACCTGGATTTCTACGTAGCATACCTCACCCACTTCTACAACCACTGCCATGATCCCCTCCACCACCTCCATGTATCATATGACCACACGTACTAGGAACAATATTCTCAAAACCATTCAAAAACTAAATCCCAATGTTGAGTCTTCCTCCTATCTCACCCATAAATACTTATAGGCTTTCAATGATTTGATCTAGTTTAATTCTATGAAATATGATTATCATGCCATTATCTCTCATCAAAGTTAGATTTTGGGGCCACGTCCTGAGAACGATAATATTATTAATTGTATATGGTTATTTAAAAAGAAGCAGAATGAAGACGGATCCCTAGCTATCTACAATGAAATGTTTGTGGCAAAAGGTCGTAGTCAATGACCCGGTATTAATTGTGACAAAACTTTTAGTCTCGTTGTCAATCCTGTCAACATCTATAATTCTTAGTCTTATTGTGTCACAAAAATTGCCAGTTAGACAACTCAATGTAAAAAATGCATTACTTCAGGCCACCATCATGAGACCATCTACATGCAACAACCGTTAGAATTTCAAGAAAAAACTTTTATGAGTCATTTTTTCCTCCTTCACGTTCTCTTTATGGACTCAAACAAGCTCCACGAGTTGGTACCATTTGTTTGCAACTTTTATCTCTCGACCTTGTCAATAATAGATGTGATACTACTTGTTTATTTACAAACAGAGGCAGCATATGACATATCTTATGTTATATGTCGATAACATCATCCTTACTTCTTCATCTACCGTTTTCTTGGATCAGGTCATTACTACTATAGGCATTAAGTTCTCTATGGTTGAAGTTTGAGATCTTAATTTTTTTATTATCAACTATGTTACACGAGATGAGCATCGTATCTTTCCTCGTAGCAAAAAGTATGCCTTGGAAATTTTGGAGAAGGAAAATATTATTTATTGCAAGTTGACACCTCATCCGATACAATCACTAAACTAGATGCCACTGGACATCCTCTCACGGATCCTACCTTCTATCGCAACCTAGCTTTACAATATCTTACATTTACTCGACCATATATCTCTTATGTTGTACAGTAAATTTGTTTATTTCTGCATGATTGGGAGCCTCATTTCAAGGATCATTCGTTACATTCATGGTACTACTGACAACGGTATGTAACTTTATGTATCATCGTCTCGAGGACTTATTGCCTTATGTGAGGTTGATTGGGCGGGTTGCCCCAATGCAAGACGTTCCACATCCGATTATTGTGTGTACTTGCGGCACAACCTTCTCTCTTAGTCCCAGAAACCACATGCACTATTTCCAGATCAAGTGTCAAGGTCGAATAGTGTGGCATTGCCAATGAGTTGGCTACGAAACCTCCTAAATGAATTACACCAACCCCTTGTCAAAGCCACAGTCATTTGGTGTGATAACGTTAGTGTTGTATATGTTTTCAACAACAGGATTTGTCATTAGCAACCCAAGCACATTAAGATTTACCACTTTGATTGAGACAAAGTAGCCATGGGCCACGTACGTGTGTTGAAGGTTCTCTAACCATCTCCATATACAAACATCTTCACCAAAGGACTCTTCTTATCTGTATTTCTCGATATGCAACCCAAGCACATTAAGATTTTCATTCACTTTGACCGAGACAAAGTAGTCATGGGCCATGTACGTGTGTTGCAGGTTCCTAACCATCTCAATATACAAACATCTTCACCAAATGACTACTTCTATCTGTATTTTTCGATATTCGTCTAAATGTCCAAAATAGACCTCCCATCGATACTCTGAGATGCTATTAGTATATTATTTATTGTACTATTTGAAACTATTATTTTGGGCCACCTCCTTCGTGTAGTGGATCCAACCCATTGTTTTTATATTTAATTTGTATATATTGTAAATTTGTTGTTAATGAGAAGGGGATCATGAGAAAATACATTTGATTACATTTATTTCCTTGATTTTAATACTTAATTATTTCTTATATATAGTTGTTTCCTTATAATTTTATGAATATTTAATTTCATTATAAATGAGACTTAATCGTCATTGATTTTTTTGAAGTTAAAGTTCATGGAGTTAAGAAAAATTAAAAGAACCAACATTATTAATTCTTAAAAGAACAAGAAACTGTATCATATTTGTTTCCTTTGTATTAAGTTTCAATCCTACAAAAAACTTCATTCGTAGTTTTTGCATCACGAACGCTTTTTAGCATTTCAGAAATACCGATTAACGGAGTGGATTCAAAATGAAATTAGACCATCTGTATCGGTCTTACAAATGGCCTTGCAATTTGATGTCTAATGCCATGTAGGATTTAATATTGCAATTACAATGTAGGACCCACCACATCAGATTGCCATGTTGGCACAAAAACCAGAAACAGTTGCTACCGTAGATAAAAATAGAACTTCAAAACTTAACAATTTATGAACCGTAAATAGACATAAATAGTTCCCACTGACTAAATGCAAGAAATAGCAACTTACTTTCATTTCTTACTATTACAACAACAATAACAATGTATTTTCAGAATCAATTTTTTTTTTATTTAGTTGCCATAGATTTAATTACTTGTACAATTATGGTATTAATAACATGATTGCAAAGAGAGTAGGCACCATCATATTCTACTTCTAATCATTATGTTCTAGTTTAAAATTTAAACAAGCAATTGCATGAATTATTAGGAAAATATTCTTATTTTATCCTAACTTAATTAATTGCCTTTAGGAAGCCTGCAATATGTGCTTGGCTTTTAAGTTTTAATTTAATCTCCTAATCATACATAAATTTAATTTCACGTTATTTCCACCATTAATATATTTCATTTTTATTCAGACTTAAATTCAGATACCAAACCCCAACTTCTGCTGCTTTTGCTTTTATTCAGAAGCAATCAATCAACTCCATCATTTCTCTAATCACACTGCACCCAACAACAAACACATTTAAGTGTATTTGAGAAGAAAATGACAAGATTTGGAGAACATCTTATTTGTTAAGTCGATTAAGTCAAAAAGAAACAGTACCTGATTGACTAATCTTCCCAGCTGAATTTTGAGACATCTTCAGGTGGTTCGACCCATATGCTCTCAAACGGATCTTGTTCGCCCCAATCATGACACTGCTTACGGGGGTAATATCGACAATGATCCAAAGAATACGATATACACCGTTTCCCATAAAATCTCACTTTAGAAAAATAAACACTATTCCTCATCATCCCAACAAGATCTGTTCTCGCATGTGATGATAAAAAACTCGCAAACAATGTCACACCTTCAAGACTTTTCATTTCAATCCATTCTTTATTACCCTGATCCAACTTATAAATAATCGGGTTTTCACTATAACAAGTGTAGATAACAAAGATGTCACCTTTATGCTCTGCCATAAACTTCCCTTTCCACCAATTTTTCACAAAGAAATTATCCGGACACCGGGGCGGAGGGACAATACGGATAGTCCATGTCAACTCATGCGGGTCATACACCCCAAGCCACCCTGTTAAACTCAAACAATAGAACACCCCATTACAGAACACAAGTTTGTTCCAAATACTGCTGACAAATGGCAACCGGTTGTGGTAGTTGACTGTGGTCCACACGGTGGCGCCAGGGTGGCACGTGCTGATGGCCACCACGGTTGGGCTGACATGTTTGACTGTGAAGACTATGCAGTTTGGAGATTTTGGGGATGTGGAAAAGGCGACAATTTGGTATGTCATTTCGAATCTTGGGAGTTTGATCATTTCGCGTGTGAAGGGGTTGAAAAAGAGGACTCTTTGTGTTCTTGGTTTGTAGAGTAACAACCATCCGTCTTTGTTGTAGCAAATTCTGCATCCGTGTAATTCGGGTAATTCAAGAGAGTATGTTTTGCGTTGTGATGGATCATAGAATTCGAAACGGTGTCCGAGTTTTGGGAAGTACATCAGCCATGGTGGCTTGTTCACTACTCTCACTGATACAGCAACTGAGAGCCATCTTTTGCAAACTGCTGATGTGCGAATGTTGTCTTTTAGTGTTAATTGGGATATTATGAATTCAAGGAGTTCAACTGGAAGGAAAGACCATGCTTCTTCTTCTTCTTCTTGTTCAATATCTCCCTTTGTTGACACTTTTGTATCATTTTTAAATGTTACTGATAACCTATCAATACAACAAAGTTTCATTTCATCACATTTACTTTTTGCATAACTTACAAAGACAAGATTGGAATAAGTCAATAAGATCATGATAAACATGTTATTAAAGCAATGATTCAAAGCCTGAAAATCTCAGGAATGAACAGAGTCAAAGTTTGAAGGTGCGAATTGCAATCCTGTTTATAGTTCATGTATCTCGTCACACACAAAAGAAAAGCTCTGTAAGCCTAAAAATCCTTGAAATGTGTTACTAAGCGAACCAACATCATATGAGAACAAGATCAAGTGTATCTAACTTCGAGTAACAGCCCAAAAAGCTAGACATTCTCGTACAAACCCTAAACCCTAAAACCTAAATTTGTATAAATTTCAATAACGAAGGAAAACAAATTATCTAACAAATGCATGTGCAGCTAAATCCAATAAATAGTAGAGCGAAAGGGATCCAGCATGCAACAAATCAATTGGATTACGAAAAACCATCAGCTACCTACACACGGACGAAATTTTCAAATTCCGGTTAGTTTGGTCCAAATTCATTTCAAAAACAGAGAAATCGTAGCTGAATTTGCAAAGATAGACATCGATCTCATCTCTAAAACCCCAAAAACCAAAATTTGCGGAAGACCTAAAGTACAATTGGAAAGGAAAGCCAAATACACGATGAATCGGATTATGATTCAGTAGGATTCGTTCAGGAAACTTACAATTTGAGTCTCCTTCTCTTCCTTCCTGCCATAACCACAAGATGAAAGCTTTCTTTCACCACTGTGTGTGCTAGTGTGTGTGAGAGGGAGAGAGAGGGGATGTGTTGAAATGATGATTGAGAAAAGACGGTTGTCACAACGTGAATGCAACTTGGTGTGCCACCGTTACACGTGTAAATTACAGAGTGATCTGATGCGACGCAGAACACCAGTAGTCTTTGAGGTAGCCAATGAGATGCTAGTAGTAGGGTCAGATGTTGACGTGGCGAGTTTTGATTAGGTGGAAATTGTGGTAGTTGGAAGACATGTGGAGTAGCTTTTTATGTGTGTCCTAAACTAGATCTGCGTGGGAATCATAGCGTTTTCGGTGGTTATATCGTGTGTTTAGTTTGCTTTTATTTTTCTTTCCTTTTTTTACTTTTTGATATCTGATTCTAAAGGGCTCGGAAATTTGTAATATTACTTAAATTAGCAATTGATTTATTTGGGGTTTTATTAAAAGATGAGCTGGTATATTAAATACTCGGATAGTAAATATTATAATTTAAAGGGACATTTTACTATTTTTATGAATCATCCAATTACAAATCTCTAAATATTATTAAAAGACAACCTTTAATTCACCAATGAAGTTTTCTACCCTTAGATCAGTGACATCATATTCCCTAAATGAATTCAAATAGTATATAATTATAGAATCTTTATTCACGTTTTGGAATATTTAATTGCTTACCATATAATCATTCAATTGATTTAATTGATATTATACATAGTTACGACTTTTCATAAGTCAAATGATATCTTTGTAAAAAGGAACTAATAAGGTATGTTATTTTCTATTTCAAATTTAAATTTAAAATACATTTCAGTTTATTTACTTCCTATTTTTCATCATTATATATCTTCTATACATAATACAAAATTTTAACATTTTTATTCTTCGATTTACGCAGGAACAGTTGACATACTTCCTCTGCAGAAAAATAAAGCGAAAACTTCTCCAACCTTATGATCTACGATCAACTGTATGTACTTCTATGTCTTATCATTTTCTGTTTCGCACTTTCAATTCCTGTTATCAAATCACTGCATACTTTCATTAACTCAAACCCCAATCTTCATATTAATCTAATTAGTTATTTCAATACATATGTTTCCAATAAAACCATTTATTTTGATTTTATTTGTTTTCCTCCAACTATTTAATGGCTCTGTCAATATTGTTATTGTTTTTATTTAAATTAAACATTATGAATTAAAAAGAGTTTCAATTTCATACACTTTTCCCTTTATGAAAAATCGATAATGCAACATTCGGTACTATTCATACAAAGGGCAAATCTGGAAAACAATTTTTTATCCCTTCATAGTAGGATACTTTCGTTTTCTACGAATGAGCATAATACCAATGTACTTCTGAACCATAAATATATTGTTATTATGTTTTTATATTTGTATTATTGTTCTAAATTATTGACTACTATCAGTTTAACATATTTGCCCCTTTCAACTATAAAGTTTACCATTTTCATGAAAGAAAATTATCCAGTTGACCATTTTGTCACTACCAAAGAATAACAATGTATTTCTGAATCATAAATACAATGTTATTCTATTTTTTTTTTGTATTGCTCTTTTAAATTACCGACTGCTGTCAATTTGACATATTTGCTATTTACTTACTTCAACTTATTTTTTCTGTTTTTTTATTTTTTATTTTTTTTGGTTTTGTTAAATATGTGCATATGTTCGTTTCCATTTAGTGATTACTACTTTTTTTTGTTTCTAATCAGCACCTCACATTTGACCATTTATTGTGACAAGTAATATTGTTTTCCTCATATTTTTATAATTGATTGGATTTCATGGAATAAAATGATGTAATAAGATGAAATATAATTTTTTCTATTTTAATAGTACCTGATGAATAAAAGAAAAAAATAGGAAGCTAATGGAATTGTCATCTAAAAGTGTAGTTGATGAATACATTATATAAAACATGGATTTTATTTTTTTTGTATTGCAATGAGTAAAGGGGCAAGATGATCATTTAGATTTAAGTAAGATTTCAATTTTTTCATTTTTTGTATTTTATTTAAACCGACTATTTGATGGTTATTTTAATTTTAAATTTGTGTACTATTGTATTTTTTTGAAACTATTAGTTTATCCCTTTAAACATTCATATTACTTGGTTGAATCACATGTGTTTAACAAGAGTCAATGACAATCATTATCAACTGTTGGATTGTATTTGCGTAGACTCGTCTTCACTAATGGTCAGTTATATGTAGCTATTTCTCGCATGACAAGTAAAAAAGGTTTGAAGGTACTCATATGTGACGAGGAAGATCGTCCAACCAATAAAACAAAAAATATTGTCTACAAAGAGATCATCCAACGATTATAGATAATCAGACATTTGGTTTTATTTATTTTAGACATTTCAATATATTCAATAACACAAAGTCTCTTTATGTTAATTTATCTTTTTTTATTATTATTATTTTATTTTTTGTCGGCTTTTAATAACTTTATATGAATTTTTTATATGTTCCCCGCGTTTTACGCGGGTCATAATCTAGTTATTATTGATTTTGCAACCGGTTAATTTGTGAATAGTAAAATACAGAAAATGGAATATGACTTATTAAGGTAATTAACTTTTCGGTATGTTTACATCTGGGTAACTATCTTTTTTTGTACACATGTAAGTAACAAACTTGTTGGAAGTGTTCACATATGACCATTATGACCTGCTATAGCAGGTTAAATCCTAGATGTGAACGTTTTCAACAAGTTCGTTACCTGTGTACAAAAAAAATAGTTACCCAAATATGAACAAAACGAAAAGTAAAATTAAAATTACACGAATGGTCCCTGTGGTTTGGAGAATTTGTGTTTTTTTGGTCCCTAACTTATTTTTTTAACTTGGATGGTCCCTATTGTTTATTTTTGCTGCGCGTTTGATCCTTGTCTTACCTAAAAAGACTAGTGTGTCCTTATTAATTTATTTTTTAATTAATTTTCTTATTTATGTATTTATTTTTTACATATTTAGAAAAATTAATAGACTCCACATATTTTTATCTCCTCGTATGTCCATACTGTTTATTTTTTAATTAATTTATTTTTTTAACTCGGATGGTAGACAAATATGTGGGGTCTATTAATTTTTTTTAATATGTAAAACATAAATACATAAATAAGAAAATTAATTAAAAAATAAATTAATAAGGGCAGAATAGTCTTTTTAGGAGAGACAGACCAAACGCGCAACAAAAATAAACAATATGGACCATCCAAGTTAAAAAAAATAAGTTAGGGACCAAAAACACAAATTCTCCCAAACCACAGGGACCATTCGTGTAATTTAATTTTTACTTTTCGTTTTGTTCATATTTGGGTAACTATTTTTTTTGTACACATCTAGGTAACAAACTTGTTGAAAGCGTTCACATCTAGGATTTAACATGCTATAGCAGGTCATAATGGTCATATGTGAACACTTCCAACAAGTTTGTTACCTAGATGTGTACAAAAAAAAGATAGTTACCCAGATGTGAACATACCGAAAAGTTAATTACCTTAATAAGTCATATTCCCTACAGAAAATGTAGTCACCAATATTATTAGTTCGAACTTTCTTTGAATTTCATAATCTCTTAGGCTCGAGGGAGTGGTGCCACACTTTGACTTTTTTTTTGTTTGTTTAATAAATAATTGGGATTTATAAGTCAAGGGTGAATTGTGTCATTTCTGAAACTAATTATGTAGAGAGAAGTTAAGCAGGAGTTTTTTTCTGTTCGTAGACCAAACTCCAGGGACCTATTATGCCAAATTCAGAAAATAGGATGTCTTCTTTCTCGCAGCTCCTGCTGCCTGATTTCCTCCATTGTTAACAAACCCAAACTCGAATTTTTGAAAATAATTCAATTCCTAGCCTCAAGTAGCTTCCCTTTCGAATCTTAAAACCTTATATATATATATATATATATATATATATATATATATATATAATATATATATATATATATATATAGTTAGTTAGTTAGTTAGTTAAAAAAAAAGTTTGAAAAACGAGCATTTGAAACGGCAGCCAATCACAAACCATCACCAAGTGCTCCCTTCCATTGCCGCACTGCGGCCTTAGCCACACCTTAACCGCACCGGAGGGGTGGTGTTCAGCTGCCACGGTGGCAAAACTGCAGTCTGGAACCGCACCACTCCCTCCGGTCTTAATTTGTCATTAACTTGTAAGACATGTAATTTGTTTTACTTGATGTTCAAAAACACAAAAGTACAACAAGATCGAATATCACAACATCAACAAATCTTTTATTCATGAAAAATAAGATCAAGTTGATTTTTAGATACTGCAACCTTACATACAAATTCGCACATGCTCATAAACGTAAACAAAAGATGAACTTAAAGTTCTATTACAAACTCAAAACTATCTATTCAAGATCGAAACAGATGAAACCCTAATAGACAGACATAAATCAGGAAGACAAGTAAAACGAGAGAGAATGAACAAATCAAAACAAGAGAGAAGTAAGTTATGCGTTGAATAAGCCTTCAACGAAACAATATATACATCGGGTTAATTCCCCGGTGCAAGTCTGGTGCAACCCGAACCAAACTCGTGACCATGCCTGATATACAACCCAGGTTTCCATGTGAAAATACATAAAACAAGTTGCAGTCCCTAAAGAAGTAAACAATGACAAAACAAACTTTGCACTAAAATTTACTCACAAATAAACTTTGACAAATTACCATTCTTACCCTGATAATGAAAAAGTATTTCAATGTTGATCTTGAATAAATAAATAATATTGTTTTTATATTATTTTTATTTTTTAACATTTGATATTCGTAATTTTAATATTATTGGTGATTTAAGTGTCATCAGACATTTACTTGTAATTAGAAGTAATATTAGTGTTAAAGCAATTATTAATTGTAGTTTTAGAAACCATTAAATATTGCATTAAATCCATTTAATAGCTACAACTAATTTAAGTGTAATCCTCATTTTGTCAAGATATATATTGCCTTTCCAAAGGCAAGGAATATATGATTTTTGGAACAGTTTAGCTATCTTTGTCTCTAAACATTCTTCAATATATGTAGTAATTTGGTTT